CCGTGATGACGGTAGTGGCCGTCATAGTCGATGTTAGGTGTCAGAAAGTTTGCAAAGCTGTAATTTGTTTGTTGTTGCCGGCACGCTTCGCCGGAGAAAGAAATGGTAATGGAAATGGAAAGTGGCGATAGACAGCTGGCATTCAAAATCTCCGCAAGGCAAATAAGGCGTCGACGAGGAGGCCTTCATTTTCCCCATCTACGCGTTGCCAACGCACCAACCCCCCTAGACCGGCCATTTTCTAGGCATTTCAGCGCTTCCGGCTTCATGTGCCGGCGTTGAGTTGGCGCTGGCGCTCAACTTCGCGATGATACGCAACTTTTGGATCGCAAATACTTAAACTTTAATCCGGCCAACTGCAGCTTCGAATACTTTGCAGTTTGGCGTTTCTCCGTTCCACACAGCCACATTGTTTGTGTTTCCTTAAAATGTTTTGTTATTTAAGTCTTTTATTGCTTTTCGCTTAAAGTTTTGCGAATTTCGCTCATAAATCGCTTGTATGACGGCGCGACCCGTTGGCCTAGCAGGAAATGAAAAACGAGAGCACAACAACAACAACAACGCTACTTACTTCCAAGCGCATTGCCGCGCCCAAAGCGGATATTTTACAGTTTCCTCTGACATTTTTATTGAAAACTACTTCAAAACTACTAAACAACGTCATAAAGTTTCCTAATAGGGTTGGGGCATTCATTACAAACACGGGCAGAAAGGCAATATACAAAAACAAATAATGCACATTTGTATGCCATCCCCAGTTTGTTGTGGATCGTATTTATTGTTATTGTTTCGCACGCCACCGCCAGTTAGGGTGGCCGGCCGTCAACACACAACCGCCGCGACAGGCAACTGGGAGCGGAAGTTTGAACACTTGGCAAAGATTTTGTACTCAATAAAAAAATTTGGACAAATGCAAGAAAAACAGCGATGCTAAAAATAATATGTGTATGTGTATACAATTTAATTAAAGCTTTTAGCCAAATTTGTGCGAAGAAAGAAAATTTGTAGATCACGGATCCACAGTCTTGCCCCTAAATTTCATATGGCAATATTTTGCCATCTTGGATTTTATTTTGCATTTTTCATAAAAAAATTTAATTTCCCACATTTTTCATATAGAAAGCTTTTAAACAAAAAACATTTTTTATTGTAAATAATTAGCAAAAGTGAGGCAAATCACATTTCTTATGCCATTTTTATAAAAAAAATACGAGAATTTCAATTGCATGAATCTTTTCCATTTTTGGTTGACTATTTTTCGGATTAACCCATATGTTTATTTATAAAATTCCACGCTTTTCTGGAATATTAAAATTAAAGAAGGGTCGGAAGTATTATCTCCTTAAAAATAAATTATTTGAATGAAATTTAAAGAAGCGCAAATTTTGCAATAAATTCTGTAGTGGACCCTTTGTAATTTCCAGACAAGTTATATACGAAATGGATATGTAATATTTTCGATACAAAACTCCCGTTCCAATTAAGAACCAATCTGTGCTTGTATGTGCATATTTCAATATGTATGTATGTGTAAATGTGTGTATGCGGGTTTATAAGTGCTTCTTCTTAGACAGAATGCAAATCGGCCCTAGCAAGAAGTAAATCGACGACACAGCACCGCGTAAGGACCAAGTTGAAGGAAATTTATGAAGCATTTTCTTAATTGCACTTACCCAATTGAGCCTCCCACAAGAACGACATCGAGTACAATGACAAAAAAGTATCTACCAGTTAAATTAACAGCCAAGAGAATAATTTATCGAAGGAACATGCATTTCCGGCGCACAACCAACGACGCCACAGCCGAAGCCTGCTACGACGACAAAGTGTGGTGCAAAAGCAAATAAACATCTATGTGGTTATGTACATACATATACAAATACAAAGATATCGCTTGTTTGCTAAAAGACTGTCACAAATCCAAAAACGGCGTTTTTGAAATAATTATGCAAAATCACTCGCTAAAGCCTGGCGCAAATGTCGTAAAAATTTTATTTCGAAATCTTGCGATGTTGCTTCACAAGCAGCGAATATGCATTTGAGTGTCAATGCATTGTGAGTGGCAACAGAAAACTTTCTCTTCTTGTAAGACCTGGCTGACAGATGCTTGCGCGTCTTCTAACTCCGCACTGATACTTAAAGCGGCAAACTTTCACATTCAATCGTTGAAACAGGTCAGCTTGACGTATAGAACCACATTACTAGCCTTTTTTTTTTGGGCCTTCTATAACAACTAAGTATTTAAATAATTGAGCGGGATTTTGGAACGATCATCATTTAACTAAAGCCCGAAAGCGTAAAATAAAGTACAGTTATTATCCTTGCGCAACTTGAAGATGGGCTCGAGCTTTTCTCAACTCAAATATGTGCATTTGTATATTTTTCTTGCAGTGTCCCAAGACGCCTACGCGCCGCGTCGTTCACTTGGCATGTTTGCTGCCATCGTTGCCATTGGCAAAAGTCATTTGCTGGAATACACAACTAAGTAAGTAATGTTTGCCATAATTTAAATGATTGGAAAATGTCTTGCGAAATTTGCAATTGCAAAAGTTGGTCCGTGTGCCAGCCAAACGTATGTATGTATGTATCTACATATATGTATGTGGCTGTAGAATGTGCGCCTGGTTGTATGCCAACATGATTGTGCATGTTGTAATAGTGTAATTGCGGTTTGCTTTTGCTCATACAAAACTTTAAATAATTGCCGCCGCTTCCCCACCCACCACGGCGGTCCGCCCCTTGCTGATTTGCATTGCTAGTTGGTGTTATGTTGTCTGCGACGGAATTAATTGCATTTGGTGAGCGAGCCCACAAGCAAGAGCGCAGTTGTTGGCATTATAAGAATGGCAACAAGGCCAAAAACAACAACAACAACAACAACAATCGATGAATTATTGCAATCGATATGTAGAAGTAGTTGCCCACATCTATTTCATTTCATTGGCAAGCAGACTGCATGCGCATAGCCGCACTTCCGGCATCCGTGCAGACAAACTTTAAATAACACAACTGTGCGGAGATAATTTAAATAGCACTGCAGTCGAATGCCATCGTTTATTTGTTTTTAAAACAATAAAAGACGAAAAGTTTTCGAAGAAGATGGAAGAATAAAGGAATTTCAGGCATTCATTCAGCCTTCAACAAGTTATTCCTCTACAGTGGATTTGCCTTCCCTTGAGCGCCTCACGCAAAATGACCTAACTCAAGCAAACGCATACATATTTGCCTCTTCAGCTGCTGCTGGACTCCAGCGCCGATTTACAAATCGTTCGCGTGCAATTAGCCGCACTTCGATCGCCGACGCGCCAGCAATAAACGTCGAAGGCAATAGTGCAGGCGAGCACTTGCGCTATATTAGTATAGCCTTTGATGGCTCATAAATCTCTGACAAGTCCTTGCAACTTCGCAAGAGGCGGCGGGTGCGTGCTGTCCGAACTTTGCCACGGGAGGAAGCGGCACATCACCACTCTGTGATCTGCTGTGGCAGATGGCAAGTGGGGAAAGCCATCTGCTTTGCGTAAGTCCGCACTGGTTCTGACGCTGAGTGGTAGGTAGCGTGTAGATGCAAATGCAACGCGCGGGCTGGGCTGCGGATAGTATAATTCAGGGCGCGTCCACCAGCTACAAAAATATTCATCCTTTAATTCAATATTTAGTAGAGAAAACGACTTTTCCGAGTAAAGTATTTGCAAAGCAAACAGAAAGCGCAGACTTTCCATTCGTCTTGCCAACTTGCAGCCTTGCCCCAAATAGCAAGAGAAATTAATTTCGTTCGCATCATTTCGCTGCGCACACTGAAGGGAGCGCGTGCTAAATTAAATTCCTTGCTTAAATTCATTCGCTGTAGCTGTAGCCAAACTGGAGCTAGGCTGTACAGGGGGACCGCCATTTGATCTGATGGGATGCTAAATAACTGCTTTAAGTGGAAACATTTTGTAGACGTCAGTATGACAGAAGAAAAATTGGAATCGCTAAATTAAGGTGGATGAAAAAAGAAAATTCAAAACCGAGATAGCTCAGGCCCGCTCTGTGAAAAGTATATTTTCCTATAACCCGACGCCTGCTCACCTAAGAGGGCTTGGAACCTTACATCCATCGAATAACAAACACACGCACGTTTGTTTGCCTACTGCACCTTAGAAATGCTAAGTTCAATTATGTTTTCACTTAAAAATTCATTTCGCACAGGAAAAAGTAGTCGCTCATCCTTGTCCACGAAGTCTCAACGAAAATCATCATTTCTGCCATGCAGATCTATTCAACTGCCGTGCGTGATTTGCCACTGCTGCCAGCACAACCGCAGCCAAAGCCAGCCACCACCACCACTGCCGACGCACAACTTGTGTTCGCTTCATTTCTAATTAAGCAACTGTAATTTTGTCATTGTTCTCCTCAGGGCGTCAAAAGACATCGCAGGATGAACCCGCAGCAGCTGCAGTCGTGGCGCTCCTGACGCGGCGGTTGTTGTTTGTGACAAACGGCAAAGTTTTAATTGAATATAAATTGCAATGCAAAAAGTGTGGCAAGCGCCCGGAACTGTTTGTTGCAAACACTTTCCTCTTTCGCGGGCAGCGGTAAAATGTCGCCAAGCGCTGCGGCCGTCAAGTTAAGACGGGCGGGGTAGCGAGAACACTGATTTGATGGTAATTGTGCAGCTTAAGTGATGACCAAGCATTCTCCCCAAACGCCCCCCCCCCCCCTCCCCCCCGCTCACTAGCATTCACAGCGCTGTGTCAATCCTTCGCTGTCTATAGAAAGTTGATTAAAGGAAATGACTCGATTTAAATTTGTTCAACCACGAAAAAAAAGTCTGCCGTACATCGAATCGACTAAAGCTATGATGAGAACAATAACTCACTAACGCACATACGCATTTGTGCATTACCACACAGATATGTTT